ATTTGATTTAATCTAAATGTAGTATTAATTGCTAAATATATAAAATTCAAAAACCAAACTATTACTAAACGGAGCTTAAAGTAGTCATTTAATTTCAAAATGAGTTTACACTTAAAGTTGATTGCATTCCAAAATAGAGAACTAGAATTAGAATAACCCTTGCCTTGATGGATCAATGGAAATCTTGACAAACCAAACCAAACCAAACCAAACCAAAATCTTACTGATAAAAAATCTCGCTGAAAGGTCCAGCGGTGGATAAATTAAAGAGAGGACAATCGGGTCGAATCACTCACACTCACAATACTAGGGCAATTCCAAACAGCTAAAAGATAATGAAGAATAGATCCAGAGATGAGGAAATTAATTAAATAGTATATATTAACTAACGATTAATTTCGCATACCAGTTGGAGGACCTTTATTTGGACTTGGTAAGCAGCAACTTCCTCTAATTAGGCTTTTTTTTCTTTCTTCTGCTTTTGCTATGTCTTGGTAATTATCTGTAAAAATATGGTGCATTCTTATCGCCAAAGCAAATATGTGATCTATGCGAGTAGAGTAAGTCTTTAAATAGAAGAAAGTCGGTACATTCTCGTGTAATTTAAAATAAAAAATAAAAAATTATTAATTTTAATGAAATAAAGGACAGAGAAAGATTAAAAAAATAGTAATATGAATAATACTAATTATAATAATGTGACATTAATATTAACAAAACAGTAAAAAGAACTTTGTTATTAGTAAATAAGCATGCATGGGCCTGTCATGTCCACGGGTAACTTCCAGCTCGTTTGAAAAAGGTTATGGTTGGATGTATGATAGGTCCCCTATAGTACTCCCTAATTTGAAGAAAATATTAACTTTACTTTTCAGGAAAAAAAAAAAAGGAAAAAAAGAAAAAAACATTGCTATTGTACACCATCAAGGATATATAAAAATTTATACACAAATAAATATTTCTTAATCATTTTCCACATTATATTCTTCCTAAATCCTTTTTTTTTTTTTTTTGTAGAAATATATTTTTCCTGTAAATATTTTTCTTTTCTTTTCTTTTCTTTTTTTACAAATATATCCTTCCTTGATTCTAAAGTTATGATTTATTGCAGAGGTACCAGAATGGACATTTGATGAGAAGGGAGAAGTGGTGCCTTTGGCTGTTAAAAAAAAAGAACTGGTGCGTTTGGGAGGTAAGCAATCAATGTTTTAAATCCCATTTACCAGTTGATTCGTTTTTAGTATCGTGTCAACTTCGATCGGCTAGTCAACTAGGTCAATTGAAAAGGTTGAGTTTTTAGTATTTTTTGAATATTTTACTTCTATGTATTGATATTAATTTATTTTACCAATTTAAAGGACTTGATTTACTGGTAAATAAGTATTATCTTGTAGGTTATGTTAAGAATTCAACTCTTAAGGCTACCCAAGGATTGTTTCAAGAACACCCTAACCATAAATTATACTAAAAAAATTATTTTATCTAAATTAATTATAATATATTTATATTCAGCAATTAATCTAACATTTGTAGTATATTTGTGTTGAGGGGAGATGAGAGTTTTTTAACTAATTAAATTATAATGATTTTAAATCATGCAATTTGATTAGTCAAAAAAACCTCCCCTCCCCTTTATTCCCCTCAACTCAAATATACTATTAAGTTTAAATAGAATTTATTTCTAGAATTCATCACATTTTCAGATTTCAAATTAATTTCATTATTTAAACTTATTAAAATAACATATATTTTTCTTTTATAATCCATTTAAATCATGGAAGTTGTATTTATTACAAAATTATTTCTTTCTTTATCAATTTTATTTTCAAAGATTTAGTTCTATTTTAATTTTATTAACTAAGGTTCCGTTAGTATGGTTGTAGTTTAAAATATTTTGTTTTGATTTTTATAAATATGTCAACTCTAAATAAAAAAACTTGTTACTTTTCATGTATTTTACAATAAATTATTAGGATTATTAGAGAAATAAAAGTAAAAACAAATTTAATACTATTAAACAAGCAAATAATTTTAGTTATCATTGTTAAAATTTCTTTTAAACAAATTTTTTATTTTTTATTTTTAGTTTTGGTTTTCAATAGACGCAAAATTTTTAGAAACCAAAATCAAAAACTTAAAACTAGAATCATGCTAAACAAAGCCTAAGACTCTATTTAATATGGTTTTGGTTTTAGGTTTTTAGTTTTAATTTTTTTTATACTTACAAATCAATTTTTTTAATAAAAAAAACAATTTATTTGATTTAATCTAAGTATAGTATTAATTACTCAATATATTAACCCAAAAACTAAAATCATACTAAATGGAACTTAAAGTAGTCATTTCATTTCAAATGATTTTACACTTATAGTATGTTTGTTTGGATTGAAAGGAATGGAGGGAAGGGGAGGGGAGGAGAAAAGAATTCTTTATCTGGTTATCAAAAAAATTGGAGGGAATGGGAGGGAACTTTTTTTTTTCTTTTAATTTAGTTACTTATCCAAATTAGAGGAAATGAGGAGAAAGGAGGGGAGTGGAATGGTGGGGAATGAAAGGATATAATTCCCCTCTCCTCCTCTCCATTCCCCTCAACCCAAATATAGGGTTAAAGTTGATTACATTCCAAAAAGAGAGAACTAGAATTAGACTGGTCATTCCCTTGATGGATTAATGGAAATCTTGACAAACCAAACCAAAATCTTACTGATAAAAAAATCTTGTTGAGATCCAGTGGCGGATAAATTGAAAAGGGGACAATTGGGCCGAATCACTCACACTCACAATACTTGAGCAATTCCAAACAGTCCAAAGATAGGAAATTAATTATATAATATATATTAATTAACGATTAATCCCTGCCTTAATGGATTAATATTGGAAATATTGACAGACCAAATAAAAATCCTATCCTGCCTTACTCATAGGGACAAGAGTGCTCTACGATAGAGAACTACAAAGATAGGTCTCATACAAGGATCCTGATCGGGTTCTTAGAACCCAAATCGTGGGTTAAACCCACTGAAAGAACCTCGATCGATGCTCGGGGTTCTCTTCTCTATACGTACACTGAGGAAGGAAGGAAGGGGGGGGGCACGGATGAAGGAGTAGAAAATGGGAGAAGAAAAAGGAGGGAGATGGAAGGAGGAACCATCAATGGACGTGCGATGGTGGTAGGTTCCTCATGCGACTATAGCGACGAGGCTTGGTTCTTCACACGGTAGTGGTGGCAAGGTTGGGTTCCTCAAATGATGACAGCAGTGAGGCTAGTTTCCTTGCATGGTCTTGTAGCTCAAGGAAGAATCTGAATTTCACAGTATTCAGTTGAAGAAGGAAAGAGAGGGAATAATTAGGAAAGAAATAGATTAGGGTTAAAGAGGGAGGGCTAGGGGGGTAAGTTTGGAATTTCAATTTTATAATTTTTAATATAAATGGGTGCTTAAAATTCCATGTCATATTTAATATTTTAAGAAAATTGCCACATCATTATCATCTTTGATCACTTGGATTTTCATATTATTTACGTAAAAAAAAGGAAGAAAAGAGATGATTTGTCAATTAATCACATCATAACAATGATTGGTATGTTCAATTACAATGATTGGTGCCAATTTCCAGTTCTATGTGAAGCTTAATTTTGTTTTTTATTTTGTAAAAGGTGAGTGGAATTTTGATAACAATGATGGGAGTATTGTAAATATGGGTTAGAGTACCTCTTGTACTCTATATTAATAAAAAAATTTATTTGGCTGATCAAAAAAAAAAAAAATTAACCACATCATAACAAACATATCGGAGGGACCAAAAAGGAGGAAAAAACTAATCTTGAGAGATAAAAAGGAAATTTTATCAGTTAAGGTATTAAGAAGGAGCTCCTTAGGGACGAAGGGGTAATGGGGTGTTTGGTTTGGAATTTCCTAAACAGTTATCAGTTTTAATTAGGCTAAATTTAATTTTTCATCAACTAACTATTATTCTCTTATCATTTTAGTCTAGAAAGTTTAGTTTCTTTCAAATTCATCTATAAACTTTGAAAATCATATCAGATTCATCTATTTAATAAACTTCTGTTAGTTTTTTTATTAATGGAATCCCATGTCAATGCTTATGTGGCACTAGTCAGCACTTACAAGGTATATGCAATTTTCAAAAACTATATTTTAACCCCAAAAACTTTACAAAATTTTCAATTAAGTTTTATATTCAAGCCACTCCACAATACAATTTAGTCAACTAAGTCCTTAAATAGACTAAATTATAATAAACGAAAACTAATGATAAATAATTAAGATTGTTAGCTTAATTTGTTAATTATAATATTATTTTTATCAAATTAAAATTAAAAAAATCTTTTACATGTAAAAATTTTAAAAATGTATTTTCTCTATATTAAAATAATAAACTTTTTTCAATTTATCTTTAAATAAAGGATTTAGAAACAATTTCTATTATTAAACATTTTATCTTAAAAAAAGAAATAAAAATAAAGAACCTTTTTAAGAATAATGATAATTGGGACCAAAATTTGAAACCAAAATCTAAGACCAATGACATGACTTATGCCACGTCATTTGAAATATTAAAAAATAGATCCTAT